AATAAAATAAAGCATAATAGAGGAATATCACACAGAAGCTTAGCCATCATGGTCATAACACGTAATAAAATAAAGCATAATAGAGGAATATCACACAGAAGCTTAGCCATCATGGTCATAACACGTAATAAAATAAAGCATAATAGAGGAATATCACACAGAAGCTTAGCCATCATGGTCATAACACGTAATAAAATAAAGCATAATAGAGGAATATCACACAGAAGCTTAGCCATCATGGTCATAACACGTAATAAAATAAAGCATAATAGAGGAATATCACACAGAAGCTTAGCCATCATGGTCATAACACGTAATAAAATAAAGCATAATAGAGGAATATCACACAGAAGCTTAGCCATCATGGTCATAACACGTAATAAAATAAAGCATAATAGAGGAATATCACACAGAAGCTTAGCCATCATGGTCATAACACGTAATAAAATAAAGCATAATAGAGGAATATCACACAGAAGCTTAGCCATCATGGTCATAACACGTAATAAAATAAAGCATAATAGAGGAATATCACACAGAAGCTTAGCCATCATGGTCATAACACGTAATAAAATAAAGCATAATAGAGGAATATCACACAGAAGCTTAGCCATCATGGTCATAACACGTAATAAAATAAAGCATAATAGAGGAATATCACACAGAAGCTTAGCCATCATGGTCATAACACGTAATAAAATAAAGCATAATAGAGGAATATCACACAGAAGCTTAGCCATCATGGTCATAACACGTAATAAAATAAAGCATAATAGAGGAATATCACACAGAAGCTTAGCCATCATGGTCATAACACGTAATAAAATAAAGCATAATAGAGGAATATCACACAGAAGCTTAGCCATCATGGTCATAACACGTAATAAAATAAAGCATAATAGAGGAATATCACACAGAAGCTTAGCCATCATGGTCATAACACGTAATAAAATAAAGCATAATAGAGGAATATCACACAGAAGCTTAGCCATCATGGTCATAACACGTAATAAAATAAAGCATAATAGAGGAATATCACACAGAAGCTTAGCCATCATGGTCATAACACGTAATAAAATAAAGCATAATAGAGGAATATCACACAGAAGCTTAGCCATCATGGTCATAACACGTAATAAAATAAAGCATAATAGAGGAATATCACACAGAAGCTTAGCCATCATGGTCATAACACGTAATAAAATAAAGCATAATAGAGGAATATCACACAGAAGCTTAGCCATCATGGTCATAACACGTAATAAAATAAAGCATAATAGAGGAATATCACACAGAAGCTTAGCCATCATGGTCATAACACGTAATAAAATAAAGCATAATAGAGGAATATCACACAGAAGCTTAGCCATCATGGTCATAACACGTAATAAAATAAAGCATAATAGAGGAATATCACACAGAAGCTTAGCCATCATGGTCATAACACGTAATAAAATAAAGCATAATAGAGGAATATCACACAGAAGCTTAGCCATCATGGTCATAACACGTAATAAAATAAAGCATAATAGAGGAATATCACACAGAAGCTTAGCCATCATGGTCATAACACGTAATAAAATAAAGCATAATAGAGGAATATCACACAGAAGCTTAGCCATCATGGTCATAACACGTAATAAAATAAAGCATAATAGAGGAATATCACACAGAAGCTTAGCCATCATGGTCATAACACGTAATAAAATAAAGCATAATAGAGGAATATCACACAGAAGCTTAGCCATCATGGTCATAACACGTAATAAAATAAAGCATAATAGAGGAATATCACACAGAAGCTTAGCCATCATGGTCATAACACGTAATAAAATAAAGCATAATAGAGGAATATCACACAGAAGCTTAGCCATCATGGTCATAACACGTAATAAAATAAAGCATAATAGAGGAATATCACACAGAAGCTTAGCCATCATGGTCATAACACGTAATAAAATAAAGCATAATAGAGGAATATCACACAGAAGCTTAGCCATCATGGTCATAACACGTAATAAAATAAAGCATAATAGAGGAATATCACACAGAAGCTTAGCCATCATGGTCATAACACGTAATAAAATAAAGCATAATAGAGGAATATCACACAGAAGCTTAGCCATCATGGTCATAACACGTAATAAAATAAAGCATAATAGAGGAATATCACACAGAAGCTTAGCCATCATGGTCATAACACGTAATAAAATAAAGCATAATAGAGGAATATCACACAGAAGCTTAGCCATCATGGTCATAACACGTAATAAAATAAAGCATAATAGAGGAATATCACACAGAAGCTTAGCCATCATGGTCATAACACGTAATAAAATAAAGCATAATAGAGGAATATCACACAGAAGCTTAGCCATCATGGTCATAACACGTAATAAAATAAAGCATAATAGAGGAATATCACACAGAAGCTTAGCCATCATGGTCATAACACGTAATAAAATAAAGCATAATAGAGGAATATCACACAGAAGCTTAGCCATCATGGTCATAACACGTAATAAAATAAAGCATAATAGAGGAATATCACACAGAAGCTTAGCCATCATGGTCATAACACGTAATAAAATAAAGCATAATAGAGGAATATCACACAGAAGCTTAGCCATCATGGTCATAACACGTAATAAAATAAAGCATAATAGAGGAATATCACACAGAAGCTTAGCCATCATGGTCATAACACGTAATAAAATAAAGCATAATAGAGGAATATCACACAGAAGCTTAGCCATCATGGTCATAACACGTAATAAAATAAAGCATAATAGAGGAATATCACACAGAAGCTTAGCCATCATGGTCATAACACGTAATAAAATAAAGCATAATAGAGGAATATCACACAGAAGCTTAGCCATCATGGTCATAACACGTAATAAAATAAAGCATAATAGAGGAATATCACACAGAGCTTAGCCATCATGGATTTAAGGTGGTGACGGAGTTGTATGAGGAAGATGAGTACTTAAGGGAAATTTGAGATCAGTGTCAGGAGAGGCCTCTAGGACATTACCATAGACCTTATGGCTACTTTTTCCATTAGAACAGGCTGTGTGTTCCTTGAGGGAGTCTATCATGCAGGAGAGTCACAATGGGGAAGTAATATGTCATTTCGGCAGAGAAAATACCCTTTCAGTTGTGAGGGAATATATTTTCTCGCCTAATCCGATGAGGGATGTGTAGAGGTATGTCAGGCAGTGTAGAGTTTGTCACCTGACAAAATTCGAGGACTTAATTCAGGGATATTACGTCATTGCTAGTGCTAGAGGCTCCATGGTCGGATGTATGTATTTCATTTTGGGCCTTCTTATGAAAACGAAATAAGGATTCAGTGTTGGTAGTGGTTGACAGGTTTTCAAAGATGACTGATTTTGTAACTTGCCACAGAACATTTTATGCATCAAACACAGTGAACTTATATTTCAGAGAGATAGTGAGACTGTATGGGATAATAATGACTATTACATCTGATAGAGATGTAAAATTCTTGAGCCACCTTTGGAGGACTTTATGAGGGATTCAGTTCAGCTCAACAACTAACCCGTGGACTAATGTTCAGACACTCGTGGTGAATAAGAGTTTGAGGAATCTTCTGAGGTGCTATTTAAGGAGTGAGATCTAATTCTAGTCCAAATTGAATTTGCTTACAATAGGTCCGCGAGTCAGGTTGCATGACACATTCCCTTTGAGATTGTGTATGGGGTCAACTCACTCACCCCAGTTGAGTTGGTACTATTTTATATTTTTTTTTGCTACTGAAGTTAGTGTGGATGGTGAGGCTATGAGGAGGTAGAGAGGGAGATTACCAAATCGAACCACAAGTATCAGGAGCAAGCTAATAAAACTAACAAGAATGTGATTTTTCAGGAGTAAGGCCTAATGTGGATTAGTTTGAAGAAAGAAGTTTCTCGTGGGATCTGTTGGGAAACTCAAACCCAGAGCAGATGGACCTTTCAGGATCCTCAAGAAGCTGAATGATAACACATACATGATTGATTTATTGAGAGATAACAATATTTCCGCTACCTTTAATGTGATCGACTTGACTCCATCTTATGAGGAGACATAAGCTTCGACAGATGAGGTCAAAACTCTCCCATCCCTGGAGACTGATGTGGGAAATCTTATTAGCTGGACCGGTTACGTCTAGAGTTATTGAGGGTCGGCCAACCCTCTAGTCTTGGGATCGCGGCTTCTTTTTAAGTGAGGGCCCACTCCTAGTTACCTAAGAATATATTTTTGCTCTTGTTGGTTTGTTGGTGTTTTGGGTTTATTTTTTTCTGTGGTTTGCTTTGGGACAGCTGTTGGTATCTTGTTCTCCCTCTATAGGCTATATACTAAGGTTCCAAGTGGTGCTCCGGCTGTATCTTGGTCTCCCAGTGGTGTTTATCCTTCCTATGCCTTTCCCCAGTCCTTTCCCGCATCGCTTTCACATCCCCTTCAATATTTGCTTGCTGTAGCTGCCCAAAAAACAGGAAATTTGCTGTTTTCTGCATCCAATCTGCTGCCCACTCCCAGGAAAAGCAGTTACTGTTGCTGCCCACAGACAGCAGTTGCTGCCTCTCCTTCTAGCTTGCTAGCTGCCTCCTTGCCACCATCCCGGAGGCCCAAAACCCTGAACAAAACCACCCTTATTCCCTACTATTTCCTATTGTTATTTGCTTCAGTTCCTAAAGAAAAAATTTCAACTCCTGGCTTCTATACAATTTTATAGTAGTTGTGTTGTATTTCTCCTCACCTTATTTCCATATCGATTTCGATATCACTGTCCTTAAAAAAAGTTTGTCTGTTACTTCTTTGACTTGTATTTGTCAAGTATAATAAATAATATATGCATACTCTTATACAATCACGACTTTTTAGCACTGAAGATAAACTATAGTTAATTGCATTTATATTGTATTTATTTCGAGATATTTCTGACCGTGCATGATCCAAGAATTCTCTTTGACATGTTTTATGGCCTATTTTATTAGGATAATCGAGGACAGGAAAACGGAGTTCTAGACCAGATACTGCTTTCATGCCCTATTTGTTATGTGCCATTGATACGAAAAGGACCTCCAGGTTTGAACTTGTAAGTATGAAATCCTGCTATTTTTATGGAATTTAGATTTCGACTTTTTTTTAATCACATTGCCTCCAATATGTTTTAGGCGTGCAGTGTATAGATCTGGATTCAGGTGCCAAAAATGCAATAAATCTTTTACAAGTAAAGACAGATATCTGGATCTTACAGTTACCTCGGGAACAACAGAATACATAGAGTTCAAGCCTGATCAGACAGAATTGTTTAGGTAAGTAAGAATTATCAACATCTACGACATTATTTTATTTATTTAAATTTGAATGATTATTAGTTGTACTATGATAGTATATTTATTAAGTTTGTGGGTTTAAAGTTTTTTTTAACACTGCCATTGTCGGTCCCAAGCCTGGATGTGAAAAGTGGACGGTTGCGTTAGGTAGTCGACAACCAGCGTAAAACTAGTGGAAAAAAATCATGACACGAGTTCTTTTGATCTTTGTGTAAGTGTTAGGGCGTCCTCTAGAAGCGATGCGCTGTATTGTCTGAATACAGCGAAAAATGTGCAAGGGCCGCCACATGTATAAGGAGGGTGAAAAATATATGTTTACTTTTTAATAAAGTTTCTGAAAATACGATCGAACTTAGTGATCTTAATATAGTTAATAATAATAAAACGTTTCATTTTTACCGTCGCATTAGTAAAAAAGAAGTTGAGGAGGCTTTAAAAAAAATAGGATCTGATGATATCCTAATTGAAGTATGAAAATACTTAGGAGATTTGGGAGTTTCTTGGCTTACGAAACTCTTTCATATTATTTTAAAAACTAAAAAGATGCTTGAGAAGTGGAGGAAGAGTATTTTGGTCCTCATTTTTAACAATAAAGGGGATGCACAAGAGTGTGCAAATTATAGAGGAATTAAGTTGAAGTGTCATACTTTAAAAGTATGGGAGAGGGTAATCGAATGTAGGTTAAGGCATATTACAAAAATTTTTCATAATCAATTTGGATTTATGTCGAACAAGTTTACCATGGAAGCTATACATTTATTGAGAAGTTTGTTGGAGAAGTTCAGAGATAATAAGGAGAATCTAGATTTAATTTTTATTGATTTAGAAAAAACTTGCGATAAGATTCCAAGAGAAATCCTTTGCAGAGTTCTTGAGAAGAAAGGTGTTGATATGACTTATGTTCAAGTCATTAAAGATCTGTATACTAGAGCTTTTACTTGTGTTCGAACTGAAGGAGGATTGACCAAATGTTTTCTTATTTCTGTTGGATTACATAAGGGATCGACTTTAAGCCCATATCTTTTTGCTTTAGTTATGGATGGTCTTACTGGAAATTTACAGGAGGATGTGCCTTGGTGTATGCTTTTAGTTAATGATATCCTTCTCGTGGATAAGATAAGAAAAAAGCTCAGAAAAAACTTTAATTATGGAGTTCTACATTAGAATCTAAAGACCTTCATATGAGTAGAACTAAAACTAAATACATGGAATGCAATTTTAGTAGTAGTAGCTCTAGTGACAAAAGTGTAACTTTGGGTGATCAAATTATTAAAATGTGCGAATGATTTAGATATCTCGGTTCTGTTGTTCAAAGCGATGGTGATATAGATGGGGATAGATGGGGATGCTAATAATAGAATTCAAGTTGGCTGGTTGAAGTGGAGGAATGCTTCAAGTCTTTTGTGTGATAGAAAAGTCCCGCTTAGATGAAATGAAAATTTTATAAGATGGTGGTGAGACCTACAATGCTCTATGGTGCTGAATCTTAGCATTTAAAAGAGAAGCATAATACTAAGTTAAGTGTTGCCAAGATGAGAATGATGAGGTGGATTAGTGGCTTTACACTTAGGGACAAAATGCAAAATGCATATATCTGTGATGGGGTCGGTGTAGCTCTTGTGACGGACAAACCTAGAGAGTCTTCTTAGATGGTTTGGTCACATTAAGCGTCGACCATCTAATGTTCCAATTTGGAGAGTAGATTTTTTAGATTCAACTTATGTTAAGAAAGGCCGAGGTAGACCCATGAAGAGTTGGGCTTATTGTATAAAAAATTATCTTAATTTATTTGAACTAAATGAAAATATGACACTAAATAGGATGCAATGGAGAAAAAGGATTCGTGTAGCCGACCCCACGTAGTGGGATTAAAGCTTTGTTGTTGTTGTTGTTGTTCCATGAAATGGGTATATACTTTTCATAAAAACAAAACAAGCTTTGGAATCCTCAAATGCTGCTTCTTCAGCACAATTGGATAGAAATTTCTAATGTCCAGTGACATAATGTGACACATTTTTATAGTGGTTTATGTGTTTCAATTTTTATGTACTTTGAATAAGCATAGGTAGGTTATCTTAGTACATGTTGCTAAAGAAGAATTGAAGAGAGAGAATTAGTTGAATGCATCATTCCAGTATTTGTGAAGTATTTTTTGAATCATAGGAGAGCTTTTAATAGGAAACATATAAAATATAGAATTGTAATTACATAATAATTTCAATAGTCTATGGGTTTATGATTAGGTTGGGTGGATCTTATGGATTAATGAGATGAAATTGAAAGAAGATAGAAAGAAGGCGAAAGTCTTCGTCATTGTCGGCCCTTGCTGGCAGAAAGTATATAGGTGTTTCACACTCCAACTTAAACGAATGTATGTATATCATTCATTCAAAGCTTGCATGATAATATTTGAAAGGCTTCTCAGGACAATCCTTGCTGAGTCTCTTTGTAAGTTAATTACCTGAGAATGCTAGAATATAGGATTTATTCATTTTTTTCAAATGAGAATGCTAGAATTTAGGATTTATTCATTTTTTTCATATGCTCCTACCAAGTTTTTTGTCTTTGCGTATACAAAATTGCCCAATTTTCTTTTTATCTTCAAGACTTGTAGACCATTTGTCACTAATTTACATAATTCTTACTATTCAACCGCATGTTGAATAGATGTTTTCCGATTCTCCCATTTTCCAAGAGAACCACAGGCTAAGGGTAGGTGGGAATTGTTGTTGTTGTCTATGGGAAGGAAGTTGTGATTCTGTTCACAGGATGGCAAATTGAAAATAAAAGAAATGCGCAATGCCATGATGAAGGCTGCAATAGTGAGACTAATTTGTAGCGATGGAACAGTGAATGTTGCAATAATAGGATAGCAACAACAATGAGGTATGTAGTTATAGAAAAATGGTTGAAAAGGAAGAGAGTCTGGCAATGAAAACTGTAGGATTATGCTAATGCAGCGATAATTATTATGTAATGGAAATGTGAGGAGTAAAGCTTAGGACTTGATATAATGATAATAATTGGAGAGAATTGGTTGAGCATTTCACTCCAACATTTATGTAGTATTTATATAATCCTTTGAGCGCTTCTAATAGGAAAAATATAAAATTAGTGAATAATAATTATAGTAGTCCACTAAGTAATGACTAGCTAGGTGGGATCCTACAGATTAATGTGATAGATTTTACTGGAAGAAGGAAGGTAAGAGGGAAAAACTTTTGTTGAGGGTGAGTCCCAGTTAGTGAAAATTATGCTAGTATTTCACAATTGCCAACATGTGTGTGCCTAAAATGATTAGTGAGTTTAGTTTCTGAATTCAATTATTTTCATTTAGTATGGTTTTCTGCATTGTTATCTCATCTAATTCCTAAGTTCAGTGATGATTGAATGAGAGTTCCTCTAGCTTATGATTTATTTTGATGAGTTTAAATTTGTTAGCCACCTTAGTTTAATGTGTAGTTAAAACATCCAGGCTCCACTTTGATGCGTTGGGCTCTTTGAGGATTTTGCGGTCTTAAACATTAGTATTTTGCTGGATCATAATTTCTTATTATCTTCATCCATTTTAGGAGTCCATTAGTCTCATTTCTTTATGAAAGAGGATGGCGCCAGAACTTCAGTAGAAGCGGCTTTCCTGGTCCCGACGAAGAGGTGCATTTCTTTATGATTCTCCTCTTATCATGTTCCGATTAGTGAATTAAACTCTAACTCAATTTTATGTACATGTTGACGTTAATTTCAATTACATATTACATAACAAATGACTCTCTCTATTTGATTCTGCTTTTGCTTCATTGCTAGATAAATCAATGAAACTTCTGTTAGATATAAACTGGACAGCTTATTAAATATACTGCCAACTATGATGTGAATTTCCAACCTCCATTTTTGGCACTTCAAATTTGCTTTCCCACTTTTGCAGTTAAAAATGGCTCAAGGGTACTTCTCGTCTGTGTTTGGGGGTGTTCTTGTAGATGTCAGTTGTGGGAGTGGTTTATTTTCAAGAAAATTTGCAGCGTTGGGGACATATTCGGCTGTTATTGCATTGGACTTCTCTGAGAATATGCTTCGTCAATGCTATGAGTTAATCAGACAAGATGCTTCCCTTTTGGCAACGTAAGTTTGTTATCTGAGTGTGTGTGTGTGTATTTATATATGTGTGTGGTTGTGTGTGGCTGTGTGTGTATTTATATATGTGTGTGGTTGTGTGTGGTTGTGTGTGGGTGTGTGGGTGTGTGTGTGGGTGTGTGTGTGGGTGCGTGTGTGTCTATATATATACATATATATGTATATTTATAAAAGGCAAATTCATTGATGTAAAAGAGAAGAATACAAAGGTTTTAGTTAGTGGGTATAAAGAGCCCACTCAGAGGGAATACAATTCATTGAAAAAGAAACTTTAGAATACTCGTATACCCAAAAAAATTGAAATACTCTTATTCATAGTGGGTGGATTTATCACTTCCCCTCCCTCTGGTTCTAGGGAGAGAGTCTAACACCAAACTGAGATGTGGGCTTCTGCCCGAAACTATCAAACAATCATCCTGAAAATTCTTGAGTTCTAGCATCCATTTTTTCTTCTTCCTAAATTTGTAAACTTCTCATTCATCTGCCTGTCTTTGTCACATATGATTTCTTTGTGAATCTTGGATGGTGAGCTCACCCTGTGGGGTTTATATATATATATATATATTTAAACGCACAAGGGCTAATTTTATTGAAATTAAAAAGAAACATAGAGGTTTTATGAGAGAACCCAAAAAAAGGTGTCCTACCCATATGATACATCAGACACTAGCATCCTAAAAGAATGAAACATAGATAAAAAAAAACAAAATTTGCAGGAAATAAGTTGTTAGGCACGCTTGGTCTTGCCTCTGCCTCTGGTTCTAGAAGCGGAGACAGCTAACAAATTGCTGAGTGTCGTTCCATTACCCGAAGTTACTAGAGTAGCATCCATTAAGTTCCCAAGCTGGGGTGTGCCTCCATTTTTTTTTTCTTTGTAGATGTGTGTACGTGCCATTCCTCATCCGAGGACTGGCTCATTTGATCGGTATGGTCAACAGATTGTTGGGCATGTAGGAGAGAATGAGTGAGGAATGACTCATTTGATCGGTATGGTCAACAGATTGTTGGGCATGTAGGAGAGAATGAGCCTCCAGCTCCTGACTAGCAGTAACAACATTCTGATTCTGAAGGGATGGTAAGCATGTCTCTTCAACGCCTGATGCATCAGCTTCAATATTATCATCAATATTATCATGATTATCGGACCCAAGTAAACCATCTGCCAATATACCAGTCGGAAGAACAAAGACAGTATTGTCTCCGGTAGTGGGAGGGGAGGTGACATCATTTCAACCGGTGTTTCAATAGTCTGTGGAATGCGCTCAGGAGCGGAGGAGGGACAGGTATGAGGTAGGGCAGATCTAGAAGCGTTTTTACTAGAAGGTTTTAAATTCGGATGCAACTGATAACATTAAGAAGTAGAATGTCCAAACATACGACAGTGAGTACAATAAAGTGATATCTATTCAAGTTATGCTTGTTGCCAAAATCCCCGATGTTGTGTGCTAATTCATATTTCTCTCGAAAAAGGTACAGTAATATCGCTTTCTATCAAAATTCTGGCTTCTGAAGATCGAATCAGATTCACTGTAGGCGTGTCAGCTTTAAGAGGTTTACCGTATACCATCGCTAAAGCGAAGAAAAGCTCTTGATAAAAAAGGTAGATCTTCAAACCTGGGAAGCGCAGTCAAACAGGAATTGTAGGAGGTTCAGTACGGGGGTCAAAAATCACCGTTCATTTTAAAACCTTCATCACTTGGTTTTCTATTCGAAGAACTCTTCTCGCAAACAAATGGGTGTAATCTTCGTCATTTGATAATTGAATAAGAATGTGGCGACTATCCAACTTAACGATCTTCCAACCCTCTTTCAACTTCATTTGCTCAAAGTCCTTCCGAATCAGCTCAATTTTAGGGTTTCCATAAAGAAACTTACCTACTAAAGACAGTCGGCAGGGTGAAGCTAGGGTGGAGATCTCTGCCTCAGTGAGAAAGATTGCAGGTTTGCCATTTGTGTGTGTGTGTGTGTGTGTGTGTGTGTGTGTGTGCGTGCGTGTGTGTGCGGGTGTGTGTGGGTGCGTGTGTGTGTGGGTGCGTGTGTGTGCATATACATATAGATATATATGTATGTATGTATATGTATATGTATCTACACACACACATATCTCATAACCTTGGTAGAAATGTCCCTTTCTTGATCCCGTCCAATTATAGCAATAAGTTCTTTCCTCAAATTCTAGATTTATTATTTGTTGAATATATAGTCACAGTAGCTCAATTAGTCTGTTTAATCTATATGGTTAGAATGCATAGCTTGAACCTAGGTGTTATTTTTTTTCAAAAACGTCTAGTTCAGGATCCACATCTCGTTCTGGCTGCTTATGATCTTTTGGCACATATGACGGTGATCAGCGAGTAGGCCACTCTGCAACACAAAAGCTATGCTAAGAAAACTTTAAGGCAGCTTTCCGACTACATTATATTTAGGCACTTAAGGCCCGTGATAAAGACAGTAATTTCTTTTGTATATATGGGCTGGCTCGGAGAATTAATTGTCACAGTACCTTTCCAGGAATTTCTGTCTTGATTCAATGTAGTGCTTTCTGAAAAAAAAATTGTATATATATATATATATATACATATATTTATCTGTATGTGCATGCGCACGCTCTGAGATATCAATGATTACAATGGAATGAGACTTCTGTTTAATCTGTTTAAAAGTGGGAATCAGAGCACGCAGATTAGCATTGATGGAAGTTGCAGCCTTAGTAGAAATGTCTCGTTAAATAATTCTAAAGTACAGTAAACTTTGGTCATCTTGCAAACTTGAGCATAGCTCGATGATTTAATGCGCAACAAACAAACCAACTGGACTTTTTTGAGTAGGATGTATCGGACTGCCAGCTTCCATCAGTTGACTAGGCTTTTGATAAAGAAGGTATCCTTGATCCTTCTCCTACATGCTGCACGACATTATATTTTTCAATTTTATTTCCATTGGTTGATCCTAAATTAACAAAAGGCTTTCATCATCTGATGACTTTTATCTCTATTCTTTCTTAAGTCTCTATACTAAGAGTTCCTATAAAATGTTCTTTATTGAAGTCTGACTTTTACAATGCAATTTGTGAAAGCCTTTATATCCTGAAATTTTAACTAGTTCTGAAGTGTTTCTTGATTTTTTTTTATTTTTTTATTTTGTACTTGTTATCAATCTTCTTGCGCTTGTTTTAATGGTTTTATTCATCAAGATCATATGCAAAAAGTGTCTCCGAACAAAACTATACAGATTAGTTGATGGCGGTGAATCCATTGCTTGTATTTTCTTTTCAATCTTAGTAGATTAGAAATCCACACTTTAAATTCTTTATTTTTGAAATTTTTTGACAAAAATGGAAAATTAGGTGGTAATACTGTTACAAAGTTGCTTCAGTCTTTGTGGCGTATTATCATTGCCAGTGCATGCTTATTTTTACGTACATCGTCAAAGAAATATGAATTTGGAAAGAAAACGTTGACCAATGGCCTAATTCTAAAGCTATGTAGCTTTATAATTTTCTTAGTTAACAAGTGTAGTATTGGAATCTCAAGTGCAGTGAAACCGGAGTTCTGAACTATGTGCTGCCTAAGAGATAGAACAATGTTTTTGATTTAGACAACTACATACATGGCCAAACTGCTACATGTTCATGACAATACATAGTTTGTATGGCAAATGACGAGAGCGTCATAGTTCTAAATTATGATTTCATCTTCCTGGTGCAGTTAGAGCAGGATAAGTTTGCTTTACAGAGATTTTGTTGTAATTTTTTTTTTAAAATTTCAAATGTTCTTAATATAAACGACTTTGTGATGGAAGCACAGATAGCTGTTTAGAAATTAATACCCATTGTTGTGATGGTCAATGAAACTGTCTGGAAGCCTGCATGTTGAATCTCCTTTTTTATGGAGATTCGCATGCTAATTATTCTGATACCCCTTAGATAAAAAGTGTGTGAGACTTCAGTGATGCAATTTGAAACATGAATACTTTTATTTTAGAAAGCTTGGCTTCTCTTTTCTATTTTCAGCGTAATGATCCTTTTTTTGATAAATATGGTGCCTTAAGTTCTCTGAATAAACTATACTTTCAATCTTTATCGGGTTTCTGACTTTCTTACTATTGTATATTTGTCCTCAACTGTTGACCATACTCGCATTATTCTATTTGTGGTAATGCATTTTCTTGGTCAATAACCAGAAATCTTGCTCTTATGAGGGCGGATGTCTCAAGACTTCCATTTGCATCCGGTTCAATTGATGCTGTACATGCTGGTGCTGCTCTGCACTGTTGGCCCTCTCCCTCCAATGCGGTAAGACTTCAAAGATTGAGCATGCGCTGTATTTTTTTTTAAAACCGGAGTTGATTTTATTTCATCAAAATAAAATATAAATGGTTGTGTGGTAGGTGGATCCCACGACAAAAAGGATCTCCAAAATAATTACAAGTATACTTAAAAAATAAGAACTCCAAAAGGTATACTCTGTATCCTTTAACTTTGTGGAAGATCACCCAAAAAATTCTGTACCTGTACCAATGGACAAAGACAAAAGGGCAAACAATAAAGTTGCAGAAACAAAGACATCATGTAGGTGCTTCATTCCAACAAGCTAACCAGTTGATTCCATCCCCACATCCACTCCATGAAATTGTACCTTCAAGCAGGATAGTAAAAGGAGACAACAGACAAGCAGAAGGAATTTCAAACCATCCAGAGACAACATCAATATTCAGCAGCCAACAATAGTGCCCCCATTCTGTATTAAGCTGGGGTTTCTCCATTTCCAAAAATATTCAGCAATACAATCAGTTGCCCCATTTCTAGAATTAAGGTTTAGATTTGTTGTGTTGAGATTAACTCCAAATAGCATGAAATACAATACAAGCAGAATGTAAAATGATAAGTAGATAGCATGCAATTCCATCTATCCAAAGAGCAATTGCTACTATTAAGATGAGACAAAAAACCAAACAAATGAAAAGCAGGCAGCAGCATTAAATTCTTTGTAAAGATGGTAAGATTTTGAGTAATTGTAAAGAAGGAAATCGCCCAATATCAGTCACTTAAAACAGGTTGTTGTTGGTTCAATGGAGAGCCTAAAGTTGTTTCAATCCAAAAATACAACCAACCATATCTTCTGTTCCAATATAAGCCAAATAAGGCAGGTTTCTGTAATTAATTTTGAAGCAAGCAGTTGCTTCAATCTGGAAAAAACAACCATCCAATCCCACTGAACAGTACAGCATACAAGAATGGGTGCAACAGTGATCACATGTTTCTGTAAATATAAAACAAATAATGAAATAGAACAAACAGCAGCAGCAGCAAAGTGTAAGTTAAGAGTCCAATAGCAGCCTATTAAATAAGTACCATCCATAGATCTGATGTTATGTAAACAAGACAGCCATCCATCCCCACTGGACAGTAAAGCACAGAAAAATGAATGGGTGCAGCAGATAATAAGTTTTATATGAAATCCATTCCTAATCTCATGTTCTTTGAAGCTATTCAGGATGGTTTTGCTGTCCTTGCTTTGTATCTAGGCCTTGATACCATCCCCTTTAAAATGCTGGTGTTGACTAGTTGTTGGTTCTCTGTGGACCGAATCTTATCTTTTCAAACCTATCTTTCCTAGTTATAAAACATAATCATGATAAACCTGCTTATATATAAGTGAACATAACTTATAAAATCTTCAATAATGATTCAAGATAAAAGTAAATTACTATGGGCTGTTGGGATGCAGGTCTTAGGAATTCCAATACAATTTAAATGCATTGCATGGTAAATTCATCGCATTTGAAATACAATATGATGTTTGGTTGTTTATGGAATAAATTTAGGAGGTTAATTTTTTGTTTTGATTGCTTTGTATTTTTTTTTTTAAAAGTAGGGCATTCAAATATATGTGCGTTGGGGGTGGTTGACGTGGTGGTGGTGGTGGTTGGTGTATTAGAAATCACCTGAATTGGGTGATTTTGAAATACGCTGAAAACAAAGTAAAGGATGAATTCTAAATATGTCACTTTCCATTCTTTTTTTCATTCAGTCAAACTACAAGATTTTCAAAATATCTGCATTTATTTAAGTTGCACTTGAAATACTTTAAGCCAATCACTCCCTATATCCTTATATTTATAAAGAAATGTCTATACTTTGGTTTTCATGGAGTTGTAGCTTAAGCTATGACGTTCATTGAGTGGGTTCTTAAGAGGATGGCTTGAAGAGGATGATACCTTCATTGTAGTGAATCCTTAAATTTAATAATTCATGTTCATAACTTTTTTGCTGTTTCACTTAGATTTTGCAAGAGGTTGCATAAGACCATGAGGCAGTGGTGTTGACTGGCGGCAGCGAATTGGGAAGGTTGCGGTGGGGGTTTGGGTGGTGGTCAGATTATTTGAAATCACCTGAATTGGGCGATTTTGAAATACGTTAAGGAAAAAGTAAATGATGAATTCTAAATATGCTACTTTCCATTATTTTTTCTTCCAATCAAACAACTAGATTTTCAAAATATTTGCATTTATTTACACTTTAAGCCAATCAGTCCCTCTGTCTATATAGCCATAAAGAAGTTTCAGCTGGCATGTCTGTACTTAGGTTTTCAGAGTCCTACCTTAAACTATGAAATTCATTCACTGGGTTCTTATGGGGATGGCTTGAAGAGGATGATACCTTCACTGTGCTGAATTCTTCAATTTAATCATGCATGTTCATGAATTCTTTATTGTTCCATATAGATTTTGCAATGGGTTTTATAAGGCCATGAGGCGGTGGTGTTGGCTGGTGGCGGCAAACTGTGATGATTGGAAAGACGATGCAGTGTCTTACAAAATCACCTAAATTGGCGATTTTGTTATCCACTAAAAACAAATTAAAGGATGAATTCCAATATATTAGTTTTCGTTCTTTTATTAGCCAACGAAACATCAAAATCTATCAGAATCTCTGCATGTCATTTACACAGACGTAAAATAAGTGGAAACCAAATGTTCCCTATATCATTATAATCATAAAGAAACTCTACCTTGCATGCCTTTACTTAGGTTTTCATGAAGTCCTCGTTTAAGCTATGAATTTTCATTGGGCATGTTCTTATTAGGATGGCTAAACATAGATTTTTGTGAGGGGGGTGGGTGATTCTTTTGAAGGAATGAAATGAAATTTTTTTCATACAACTTTGTAAAGACATCTTTTCTTTCTTTTCTTATTTTGCTCATGTTTGAGATTCTTATTATTGCAAATAACTTTTGTATGTTCGAGTATTGGATTGTAGATTAATCATACCGTGGCATCGTTCAGTGATTTGTTGAACTTCTGATTAACTTAACAACATGAGCGAGTGATAAAATATCTAACTGCGAAAAAATGTAGTTAGTTCTTGCTTAGGCAAATCGAATGATATTATTTTGACAAGGATTTATGTGTTAATAGGTTTGTTCGCAATTGGTTGTCCATGTGAAGCTCTTGGTGTTTTTAAGGACCTTGAATAAAGCTGTACACTTATTCCCAGATCAAGAGACTAAGTGATTTAGACCCGCGATCCAACTTATTTGTTTTTTAAGTTCTCTGATGTTGCAAGAGGATGACATGTTTACGAGGGCTTAAACTTTTTCCCGATTGGCTTTGATTTTTTATTTTTTTGTTCCCGCCCCAAACACACACTTAAACGGGTTCAACTTCAATTTATATCTTTTTAGTATCTCAAATATTTCCTTAAAGTTTTCTCTGTGTTGTTCAGATGTTTTACTTTTATCCAACATATCATCTACATAGACTTTAATATTTCTTCATTTTTGATCGGCAAATTGTACATTCATTATTTTTGATAGGTGGCGTGTTCATGTTATTAAGCTTGAATCACATTATATCATAACAAAACACACTCTTCTTGGTGATGAATGCAGTCTTCTTAGTGTCCGTATGGTATATTTTTATTTGGTGATAGTCAGAGTAGACTTGTGGGAAATTTATAATTGAGTGGTCGATGATCGAATCCATGAGAGTTGATATGTGGTAGAGGGTTATTATTTTTCAGATATGCCGAGTTGAGGCTGATGAACTTAACGCACATTCACCACTTATCGTTCTTCGCCTTTGGGACCATCACCATGTTGCTACCTTGTCCGGATATTGAACCTCCTTAGTGTAGCTTTCCTCCAACAACTTTTACCATCTTCTTGAATTAATTCTTCCAATGTGAGTGCCACTGACCTCATCTTTTGCTTTGATGGGTTGAGCATTCAGGTTGATGGTCATCTTGTGGCAGGTGATGTCGACGGAGACTCCTGTTATCTCCTCGGTCAACTAGAAGAACATGTGATACTCTCGAATCGTGGTGATGAGCTTGTCCCTGCTAACTGGCATCGAAAGTCATACTTCGAAAAATTTTATCGCCTTCCCCAGTTGCAGACAGGATTTTTTTGATTGCCTTGGCGGTCTCCAGGTCATTGCCTCCCTAGATATCTAGTTCCAAGGTCTCTTCACGAACATTGTCTACAACCACCTAATAGCGGATGTGTGTCTGTTCCAAGTCGCCCCCAGACAGTGATTACTTCACCTTCCCTTGGGAATTTTACCATTAAATTGTACGTCGAGACGACAACCTTGAAGGTGTTGAGGAGAGGACGATCGAACATGAAATTATATGTTGCCGTCGATTCGACTATACTAAAGTTAATCATAGGCGTAAGTTTTTATCATTCTCGTCCCAGCTGATGGGAAGAGTCAAGACGCTCATCTTCTCATTCGTTTTCTTTTGAAAAGCCATACAACGACCCAAGCATGGCCAAGGGATGCAAGGTACCTAGGGTCATCTTATCGAAGGTGGGCTTGAACAAGATCATCAAACTCCACGTTATGAGGATGTTGTCAGTTTGGAAATTGGTGATCAATGCATGAACACGATGACATAATTATAGGGATTGTCTTTATTAGTCAGTTGTTCCTTTGTGAAGATGACAAGCGACTGGTGGATGGCTCATTGTTTGGATGAGGCTTCCATGCAAAATTCTCCTGAGCAGAATCTCTTCAAGCTACCGTTGAGAGGTTTAAACTCCATCTCCTCCAAGAATGGCAGGGATGGCACCTAAGATGTGAATTGCTTGCGCAAGCAGGTTTTTTGTAGTTTTCTTCTGTTAGTGCTTTTCCCAGTCTCTGGGTGATTGCTTTGGGTGCTACAAATTTCTTCAACTTTTTGGCTTTGAATATTTTCTCAATCAAGCTCCGGAGGTGGCGACACTTTTGTGTGTCGTGTTCATGGTCCCTATGATAGGTGCAAGTAGTGCTGGAAGGAACTTGATCAAACAAAGACACTGTTTGTGGTTTTATGTGGTAAGTTTGGTGAAGTTTCTATTGTTCATGGAGGCTAATCTTGGTCAGAGTTGTATGGTTTTGGCAGTGTCTTTCCTTAGATGCAATATTTTGGGGGCTTGTGAATAGGTGATATCTCAAGTTTGTGATGCTTTTTGAGTGATAGGTTGCAACTTGTTATTGTGGTTTAGGGCGCCTTGGAGAAGATGTGGGGTGGTGGCAAGCCTTTTTGGTTAGCAGGACTATTGCAGAAGAGGAACTTGGGAGCTCTTTTTAAGGGTTTAAGTTGTAGAGAGGTTGTCCATCGGCTAGGCAAAGGTCTTATGGTTCCCTTAAGGTTGTTGAAGGAGGAGGGGGCGCGGGATGCATTGGATTGGGTTGTTGATAGTAAAATGAGGGATAGTAAAACAAAACTGAATGGATTAATTACTTGTCGAAGTCTATGAAGGGTTAGTCACAAAGTTATCTCCAATTTGCAATCAAGTTAGAAGTTCTAATTCTTCACAAGCCGGCATACCAGAGCACTAATGACACAATGATGTTCCAGACACAATTCCACGACTATTGCAGGCATTAATCATTTTCTTATATATAATTTTGATTACATAATTCAATTGTTTATGCGAACATTTAGAAATTTGGATATTTTTTGTTCTTTCTATTTTGAAATATTGCTGAAAATTTTTATTCTTGTTGAATACTGTTTAAATATTCACCTTTTGCTTTTTTGTAACATTAAGAAAAAATTAGTCTATATCGTGTCACCCAGACTTCCTCGCCTGTCAATGACAACCCAACATGCAATTTTTAGTATCTTTACCACCTTTCCTTATCTATGGCGTCTGTAATATCAGACTACTATTCGAGGTTGCTGGAATAAGCAAATTTTTAGTATATGGGCCACGTTTTCTTGTTGCTGGCAAATTTATTTATTTATTTATTTAGTATTAGCGAAAACAATATATTTTAGTCTTATTTATTGCATAGGTTGCTGAAATAAGCCGCGTCTTAAGAAGTGGAGGTGTATTTGTGGCTACAACCTTTTTAGCAACTCCCTTTAACATCCCTTTCTCTTCGGAAGCGCCGAGGCTTTTTAGATGGGTAATTAATTGTTTGCTTCTTCATTTTACTCTAACCATAGAATAAAAATAAAGTGATTTTAATCTCTGTGTGCTCAAAATATCCTGACTATTTACACTTCGATTTGCAGTTACATGGGCAGGTGACCAACAGTTACAACTATTTTACTGAGGCGGAGATTGAAGACCTGTGCAAATCCTGTGGGCTCATAAACTATTTAACCAAAGTACATAAATCTCTTAAATTTTTCTATTTTACTGAGGCGGAGATTGAAGACCTGTGCAACTCCTGTGGGCTCGTAAACTATTTAACCAAAGTACATAAATCTTTTATAATTTTTTCTGCGCAAAAGCCATGATACAATTTTTTGTTTTCGTTCTTCAATTGTTGGTGAAATGTATAGACATACATACATACATATATATATATATATATATATATATATATATATTATTTGCCTTTTAACAAGACATAATTTGAAATTCTTCTTTGAAGTCTTACTTTTCGACAAATGTTTTATGTATAATATATAATTAAAAAATATTAGCTTCACAGCATTTAAAGCGTTATTAATTTACATATGTTGCAGCGATTTAAACTCCTGCAAGAGCTACTGAATTTCAATGCTTTTGCAATCCTATGATAGTTGCGATTTAAACCATTGCTGCAAACTTTTTTTACTAATTTTTCT